GTTTACTCCCTCCGGTCCTTTTTACTCTGCATATTAGGTTTGTCTGAAGTCAAACTCTTCAAAGTTTGACCAAGTCTATATAAAATATTATTAACAATCACATAACAACACAAATATCATTAGATCCATTTTGGAATATATTTTCATATTATATTTATTAGGTATTATAGATGTTATTATTTTTTAATATAAATTTGGTCAAGCTTAGCAAAGTTTGACTTCAGACAAATCTAAAACACAGAGTAAAAAGGACCGGAGGGAGTACTAGTTTGTGAAAAGAACCCCAATACCCTTGCTATGCGAATTCAGAGTAACACATCTCATTACAGTTCTTAGTTATAAGAAAGTGGCCAAACTTTTCTTTTCAGGAGTCCCATATGGTCATTATACGGCCATGCCATCCAAAGAATGTCACATGGCAAAAGGTAAGAGTAAGATAAACTCAAGTAACTTAATGGGGATCATGGGAGATGGTAATCTGAGGCTTCCTCATCTTGGTGCATCTCACTTTCTAGGCAGATCCAAATTTTTTTTCCTCAAAAGATGGCCTGGATCAAAACAGGCGTAAAACAATAAGAGTGATAAAATATGATTTGTAGAATACAATGTTTAAGGCTTCATCTCACAAATGCTAGTTTTTTCATTCTATAAGGAAGTGTTCTTGTTCTCTTTCAAATCCTCCTTTCTTTGCCCCGTTGGATTGAAAGAATCTTGTGGGATATCCATAGGAAGCACCATTTTGTTTGAAGGAATGAGCCCTCCAAAATTACTATGGATTTGCTTTCCTACACTCCAATTCTATATGATACTCCCTCCGTCCGGAAATACTTGTCATCAAAATGAATAAAAGGGGATGTATCTAGATGTATTTTAGTTCTAGATACATCTCCTTTTATCCATTTTCGTGACAAGTATTTTCGGACGGAGGGAGTAGCTAACAAGCGGTGACCCTCTTGGAAAATTTCCTTTGTGTCTATGACATGCACCCAGTGTCTTCAGAATTGCAGTGCTTTTCTTGTGGTGCCACCAAACAACTATTATTAATTGCTGTGTTCCCAATCTTTGTACTCCCTCCGTCCGCAAATACTTGTTGGAGAAATGAATAAAAATGGATGTATCTAGAACTAAAATACGTCTAGATACATCCATTTCTCCGACAAGTATTTCTGGACGGAGGGAGTAGGATCCAACATGACATGAAATTCTATTCCTGTATTTTTCTTATTCATGCACTTTACAAATCCTGCACATTTGTCCGAGGAGTCCAGTACGCATGACAGAACCTCATTTCTATGCTTCATGTGGTGTGTACATTTGGAAACTCTGGCTCATTTGTATTTGCTGCGGTCCTTCTGAAATCTGGACATGTGTTGTTTATTCTAGTCTTCTGGGCTGAAACAATTCAACTCTAGTCCATTTTTTCCCATTTTGCCCTCTTCTCTACTGATATATAGGTCTGCATTTATTAAAATAACACTAACTGAATTTAGGTTTGCGACATTTTTTGTTGTTGTTCTTAACAGTTATCTCCAATATTTTCTACTGATTTAGATCTATAGAAACATGATACTGTCTTTCTTGTGTTCTCCTAGGAATGACTTTTCGACATATGTTATATCCTGCTTATAAGAGCAATCGCACCTCAACACCAGACACCATTGTTCAGGGCATGCAATACTTGAAGGCATCTATCAAAGCAATGTCAATTAAAGTAATCGAGGTAAAAAGTAGCAGTTATATATTTGGTTTGAAGATGTTATTTGTTATCTTTTGATATCTGGGATTGTCAAAATTATCAATGTAGGTTCCAGGTGTCGAAGCTGATGATGCTATTGGTACACTAGCTGTCAACAGTGTGTCTGCAGGCTACAAGGTAAAAAATACTTCGTCATGAATCATTCCTCTAATACCTTGTTTTGTCATATGCACTGGATTCTTTTTTGGAACGTTGACTGGATTTCCGGTAACAATGGAATAATAAACAATTGTTCCTACCACTTTTACTTGGAAAGTGATGCAACTAGACAATGGCTGGAGTTAAGGGCAATCTCAGCATTTCTTGGCTTTTGTACCAACAGTGCAAGAAGTGAAATTAGCTGATATAAATTTGATATTGCTAAAGTCTGATGGATCCGATATCTTCTTGTGTACTCTGGTTGTTATCTATTGCTAACGTCTTTCTTTTTCAATATGCCTGGCCTCTTTTGAAGGTCCGTGTTGTCTCCCCTGATAAAGATTTCTTCCAAATTTTATCACCTTCTCTACGTTTGCTGAGGATTTCTCCACGTGGTTCTGGGTCAGTGTGATTGTTTTTTACCTTCTGAAAGTGTCGCTGGAAATGTCTAAATAGTTCATTTTCATGATTTTAACATACTGGAGGTTTCATTTTTTCTGAACAAACAGGATGGTTTCATTTGGAGTCGAAGATTTCGTGAAGAGATATGGAGCATTAAAGCCATCACAGTTTGTTGATGTTGTTGCACTTTCAGGCGACAAAGCTGATAATATACCAGGTATTGTTTCTGTTGCTGTTGTATCTTGTACCATTTTAGTTAGGGGTCAACAAAACTTGTTTCTGGTGGGTTGGCATAACAAGCCGGCCCAACTGTATATGAAAGCATGGATCTCTTTCTACCTTACAAACGCATCAAAAACTTGAGTACGGAGAGAAAAAAACAGGCAGAAACTTCCTAATTTAGGCAGTTGGTTAAGTGTGTTGCATGCGTTAGACGGTTTCTGGAATGTTTGGCCTGTGGGTGAGGTGGCTGCTTTTGGTAGCCAAGTTAGCCTGAGACATGTCGTTGTGATGTTGTCACCCTTCTCCTTGCAACCAAAGAAAGCAAGAAGTGCGCCCTACATTGGAGTCCATGGCTGCGACGATGCTCCACAAGCCGCCTGAGCAAACTGCCTCCAGTCCGCTCTGCCTCTACCTTGCAGCTGCACCATTTGTCTCCAAACTCTTTCCGCTTCTCATGGCCCCAAAACTGGCTCGCCGCTTTGTGCCCCCAAGTATACAACTGCAGTGGGCTCTCCGCTCTTCTTTTCTATCAAGTGCTTTCAAGCCTTGCAAACTCTACACCGATAAGATGTACTGCAATTTGATTGCACTTCTACAGCAAACACATTTATGAACCCACTGTATGTGTAAT